CTAACCTTTGGAGCTAGTTTGGGCCCCTTGGAACTAGGTGTCTAAGGAACTTGAGCATACCCTCTTCTTTTCATACCATATCCTTGATCTCTTAGCTAGAAAGTACAATGTTAAAAGAAAAAAAAAATCCACCAAGTGGGAAAAAAAGTTGAAGCAGTGAGCAAGGAATTTCAAGACATTCTTTGATGGCCCCAGAGGAGATAATGAACTCTGAAGCCCAGTATCTGATGGGGAGTTGAACTAACTTAGTTTAGAGAAACAATTTTCTTCCCCTGTCAGTCAGTCTGTTGGTGGCACTCAAGAATGGTTTCTGTGCTAATTTGCAGAACAAGCAGGAAGGAAGAGTGAAAAATATGTGAACAATGGTTTGGGCTTTACCAGCAAGTATGATTTAATGACATTCCTTTACTACAATGACAGAAACCAATATCTTAGTCCAGAAACTTGCCTAAGAAAACCAATAAGAGAAAAATCAAAAAGATGAAACAGTTCACTGTTCTTTATTTTTTTTTAAATTCAGGCAATACACTGGTTTATAAATTGTGATTATTTTATCACATATGATTGTGGTTGTGGTTTGTCCTTCATTCTTGAAGGGGACTATGACATTAGGGAGATGATGACATGACTTTGCAATTGACTTTGGTTTGAGTGAGGGAGGGCCGTGCAAGGTCACCAGCTTCACTTTCTCCTCCAGAGCCATCTGGATCCAGTGGCCAGGATCAGGAAGACTGGAAATGGCCCAGGATGCAGTGGGAGACCTTGATCCTTTTAAGCTAAGGTCTTTTTAGGTTCTCACTATGAGTGAGGCAACGCCCATTCAGTGAATAGGACCCTTTAAGAAGTGAGTCAAGGGATGGTCCCTTTAATTAAAAAAAAAAATCAAACTGAGAGGGGAAGACAGGGTTGCTGGCCAAAAGAGAAACAGTTACTATTTACATTCACTCTGATCCAAGAGAGCCCAAAAATAACCATTAAGTGATACTTGGGCAGGGACTTATTGTCCAATCCATGAGATCCAGAGTGAGTTGGGTTTAAGGTCTGGTCTTTGAGAAAGAAAGAGGCCTGTTCATCATGGTCCTCTTCAGTAGTCTGAGCTGCCTGAATGGGGACCCAGCTGGCCAGTCACAGTTGAGCAGCTCACCTCATCCTCTCCTCCCCTCTCTTCTTCTCTTTTCTTTTCTCCTCTGCTTGCTTACCAAAACCTTAGAGGCAGTTACGGGTAGTGCAATGGGTAAATTAGAGTGTTGGACTTAGAGTAAAGAAGACCTGAGTTCAAATCAAGCCTCAGACACTATCTGTATGACCCTTGGCAAGTCACTTGACCTCTTACCCTCAGTTTTACCATCTCTAATACGGAATAATAATAGCACCTACCTCAGAGTTGTCCTGAGATAACACAGACACACACACAGACACACACACACATATATCATTTTGCATACCTTAAAGCACTATATAAATGCTAATTGTTATTATTAATAATAATAAGGGTTGAGAGGAAGCATATAGTGAATAGAGAGCTGGGCATGCAGTCAGGAAGACCTATACTCAAGGCCCACTTCTGCCACATACTGGCCAAGTGACCCAGAGCAAAAGATTTAACCTCCTAGTGTTCAGAGGGGACAAACACTCATCCCACTATCTGAAACTACAAATCTGCCTAGTGCTACCCAAATCAGATTAAAATAGAACTGGGAAATGTTTCACAAAATTAATAAAAATATAACATAATCATTCGATATGCTGAAGCAGGGATCCATTTCCATTTGAGTTTAAAACACCTGCTGTAGTAACTCAATTTAACATTATAGGCTGCAGAGAAGATACTGGCCTGATTTGGGAGGTCAGACTCCTCATCTTGAGATTCCTTATTCCACCTTAATTCCTGGACCTCTACAGTACAAATTATATTGTGTCTTAGAATATTACAATGATTTTACTCTGAAATTCATAGAACTTTCAAAGACATCAGTCTGACCATTTATGCTTAAAAACCAAAGTGAATAAATTATACAATTCCTACAGATAAATTTTATGTGTCTATATGTGATATACATATATACACACATGTGTATGTGTATACACACACATTTTTCCTAAGCTAAGGTGTATAACCTTTAACATTATTTTCTGTGAATGTATGTGTTTTCTTTTAAGAGATGCTGCAGATGGACAATGTATCAGACCCAAAATTCAGTAGAAGCCTGCATTTGAACTGTATCACATTGGGAAACTGTGTAGTGATTTCATTGATACCAAGATGTTCACTACTTACTGCAAAAGCCTGTCTCTTTAACACCAATCTTCTTCTAATGATGTTATAAGGCATGTTATTATGGCAAACTTTGGTTGCCCAGAGAAGTTCATCAGTATTGTGATCAGTTTCATGACAGCATGCTTGCATGGGTTCTGTGTAATGAATGATGTTTTCATGCTTTCCCAGTTACCAATAGAGTGAAGTAAGGCTTTTTGCTTGCTCCTAATGCTTTTTAGCATCATGTTTTCAGCAATGTTGTCAGAAGTCTTCAACGAGAGAGTAATGGCATCAATTCTGTCCCCTATGAGCGAAGCAGAATTGCAGTAGCTCAAAAAAAAAATGTGAGCTGCACAAATTTAGAGTCATCTCCACTCCAAATGTTCCTGTGGACTATTTGTGCCCAATCTGTGGTAGAGCCTGTTGAGCTCATTTTGGTCTGATCAGCCACACACTGTACCTTAACTCCAACGCAGTGATGTCATTTTGTTCCTCTTAAAGAACAAAGAACAGCAACCAACAACCAGCCAAGGCATGTTAGAAGTTATATTATAGATATATTATAAGTCATGGAATATAATGACCTCAAAAGAATCATAGTTACAATTGTAGTGGTGAATAGGCCTTTTTCTTTCTCAAAGACCAAGCCTTAAACCCAATTCACTCTGGATCTTGTAGATTGAGCAACAATAGTCCCTGCCTAAGCACCACTTAATACAGAGTTTTTCTTGTTGGCTTTACGATCATGACAGCTAGTCACATCAACTAGTTAGAGTCTGCAAAGTCAAGCTGAGAAACCAATTACAGCCCTGTCGCTATCTGGTTACTTCTCACTGTGTCCCCAAATTCCAATTAAATATCCTAGTATTTAGTGATCAATTTATCATTTTACTTGATATAGATCTTCTCCTTCTGTTATTGCTTCTTTGATGTATAATTCCTTACCTCTTTTGTCCTCTGTAATTCTAATTGTATCCATCCTGCCTTGTACTATATATATATTTTGGAAATGTTACTCATTGCCCATTGATTTTCACGTACCATGGGACTGTGCTCCGAGCATATAATAAACCAGTTATTAAAATGTCTCTCTGTGTTGATCAGTATGATTGAAAGTGGTATCAATCAACAAATCCCTGAATGTTTTATATCACAAGTAACTCAGAGGACAATGATAAACTTAAGGTTATGTAAAAGTAAGTAACAGAGTATTACCAACAATGACTTGTGTTAAAAAAAAATTCAGAGTAAACAACATCCTCCAGGGTATGTATGACTAGCATAGGAGAAAAGGCATTGTCATGAAGAAAGAGCAACCCACAAGTGAGAAGTCAGGGTGCTACACTGGTCCACTGAAAATAGTAAGAGAACAGAGGAAGACCAATGTAATATGTGAATCTCATGGACAAAGACGAGAATGACAAGAGTGAAAAAAGTCAGATGAGTGTTAGAGCCAACTCTAGCTCGCTTACCAGAGATTTTTAAACTTTTAGTGTGGGCATTTATATACCCTTCAGAAATCAGCAATCACTGCAAATCAAGGTCTGATTTGTTGTTTTGTTGATTACCTACATTTAAGAAAGTGTTAATAATGCAGATTAAATTTATGTGTGCAAATACTTTTTTTTTCCAAGAGGGCCCATTTGTTAAACATTTACCACCACATCCCTATATCACTCTATAAACACTGCTTGAGCTCAGCAGGAAGCCAGTAGAATACTCTGGGAATGAAGTTATCATGGGACAGAATGCCTGCTGACTATAGGCTAATGATAATAATAGCTGACATTTACATAGTGCTTTAAGATTTTCAAAGTGCTTTACATCTATTATCTTATTTGGGTCTTATAACACCCTTAGGTAGACTCAAAATAGCAGAAGAACCAGAGGAAGACTGCTGGTGTGATAATAGGTGAATCCTATGTGAAAGTTTCATATAGAAGGATATAAGTGACACAGAGTAAGGAAGGGCAGCGGAGATGTGATCTCCATTAGTAGCAAATGGAGCAACCAGGGTAAGAAAATCAGATTCAAAGTATCTGCGTATGAAGCAGGATGCCATATAATTGCATTTTAAAAGTTGTTTACCCCTCCCTTCCACTTCCTGTTTGAGTGGGGCCAATCTTGAAAACAGAATCTGGGCTGTAGGGTAAATGGTATGGGATTATAGCTTTTCTCTTTGTCTCAATAGGTGTTCTCTGGTTAAAGCATTGACAAAATCCCTGTCTTGTAAGTTTGAATTTCTAGTTTTATTTCTAGCCCATGATTGAGAGCTATTACATTAAGACACTAGATGGTTTTTTATTGTCTCTTACAAGGTAGTTCCTTTGCTCTGGGAAGCCCTGATGATATTTATTCCTGGTTATCTCTGTTTAGCACACTTGGGTAAAACCATAAATGGGGGAAAGAATAAATACAAATACTGAACTATTTCTCTTGGGAGAAAAAATGAGGCTGAGTTTCTTTGTATAAATTGAGTCCTTGCTTAGAAGGCTTACTGGGAGTAAGATGACAGGTGATGTTTAAATAGCTATTCACAAGAAAATTATCTACAGGAACCATGTTTCAATGGAATTTTCCCCCCTAGCAGCTGAAAAATATGACAGATGCTCCACTCTGTTTACCAAGGACAGCTCAGCTCCAAAGTAACACAGAGTTTATTGCTACTGTAATGTTCCAGTTGTGACTGCACGTCATGTTCTAACAGCTCCGGAATGGAATGAAAAAAAAAAACCAACTAAGTGTAAATTCTACTGGAGTGGGCAGAAAGAGGAAGGAGTAATGGGTCTGAGCCATCCCTTGAGGGAACCTGATTTAACAGTAGGTGGAGTTGACAAGTGATGTGGGAAAAGGAAGAAAGCCATATGTCTCACAAAATACCTCCCAGTAATTAACCATTCCACCATTAGAGAATCATTCCTTTGATTTATAGAGCTGTCCCTTATTAAAATGCAAATAGGAGCTAGAACACTTTAACTCTTAGTGTATTGTGGGGGGGGAGGTTAGGGGCATAGATTATTTACCTCACGGTGAAAGAGTTGATCAGATCTTCCCTTGAGAGTAGGTTTGGATGGTGGAAAAAGTCAGAGAACATAAGGATTCTAAGTTTGCAGGAGAGGAGACAATGGTAATGGGAGAAAAATGTAAAGAAAGAAACAGAGGCATCCAAAGAAAAAAATTCATTGACTTCTCCAATCCTCATAGGCATGGAAGGAAGGTGTCTCTATTTCAAAGCATGGGAGTAGCAATGGCAGCATGGTGGAAACAGGCTGCCAGCTTGCTTGGGAATTAAAGACAGGTGTTGAGGCAATGTGCGGTAATAAACTGAATGGAGGGTAATGATTTACATTTCTATTATCCTTTAAGGTTTACAAAATACTTTCCATTGTGAATCAGGCAAATAGGAGTATTACTCTCCCAATTTTATGAGCAAGGACATTGGAACCAAGAGAGGAGAAATTATTTTCCATGAACAAAAAGTTAATAAATGTTAGAGCCTGGGTTCAAACCTACATCCACTGATTATAAATCAGTGTTCTTTCTCCTACACCACTCTAAGGTGAACAATAGTTTTGTCACTAGCAAAAATGCAGATTAAAAAAATTGCTAGTTCCACCCTGCCCTCCCTCCACCTCCAGTGTTGCTAAGTGAAGCTCCCAAGGTTATTTGTATGGACCCAGGAAGCCACTAAGGGCATGATAGCAATTGAAAGGAATTTTTGCACTCTCTCTCAAAGAGGAGACTGAATTCAAAATGGCAGTTGAGAAAGAAGAAAAACAATTCTAAAAGAAAGACCTAGTACCAAACATTTCTTTCGCTGATTGGCTGTGGGTCTGAATCACGAAAGAGCTAAAATCAGGTCAGGAACTAGAGTTGAGAATACTCTCTTCTATAAAGAAAAGATTGAAGAATAGTTGCAATCCATCAGAGAATCATCATATGGCAGCAGCACAGACCTAGCAGAGATAATCATCATCATCAGAGATACCAAGAAAGGATAATATAGTGGAGAGAACAGCCTAGAGAAGATTCCCGTGGAGTGCAGCAAGTGATAGCCCAATGATATTATGAGAGCAGCATATAATATCATCAAAGAGATGATCCACAGAAACAACACTGCAAGAGAATTACTTTTCCTGGCTGCATGTGTTCCCTAGCTGTATGTGTTCAGCCTCCATATATGTACTATCCCTGTATATATTTCCTTAGGTGCAGTATCTATGGAAAACTGTACCCTTGTATATATGGCAGGTGAGGGGTGGGTGGGAATTTTCCTTATTCATAGGGACAAATAGATGGGATAGTGGATAGAATTGGACTTAGAACCAAGATGACCTGAGTCTGAATCCTGTCTCCCAACACTTACTACTTGTGCGTCCCTGGGCAAGTTGCTTAACCTTTCTTAGCCTGTTTCCTCATCTACAAAGTGGGGGCTGTAAGAGCAACTACTTCACAGTATTGTTGTAAGGATCAAATGAAATAATATGCATAAAGCATTTTATAAACTTGAAACTGCTGTATAAATGCTAACTATTATTGTCACTACTTATATTGCTATAGTACTTCATAGAATCACAGAACCTAGAATTGGACAAGACCTCAGCAACCATCTAGTCCCTTCTTTGCCCAAAAGGAATTCTCATTGATGAGGATTAGATAAGAAGTAATCGGTCACCCAACCTCTGTGCTTAAAGACTTCCAATTTAATTAAATAGTCTTTGCTTTGAACTAGTGTAATTTTTGGTTAGTCTGGTGAAAGAAACATTGATGGTGGCTTATAAGTTAAGATTTTAAGTGTGTGCTGACCCAAAACATGCTTTAAACCTGGGGTAGCTTCCAAGGACCCACAAATCAAAGTGGTGAATGGTGGTAAGGCTATACCATGAAGAGAGTAGGCTACAGACTCCATCAGAATTAGGGAGAAATTTAGGAACTAAGGGCAAAGAAGTAGAGTCTGAATGTTGGGCATAAGGAGATAATCAAAGGATCTTTGAACTTAAAGGTCGACTAGCTCAACTAGTCTCCAATTCCCTGCTGTTTGGAATTTTAGATGAGCCTACTGATTCAAGATTAGGAAAAACAAAGCCAAAGCATATTCCAGAAGCGATCAGCAGCATTTGTTGCATCAGAGCCGAGGGTAGGAAGAGGGGAATGTGTCTTTTGGAAAGGTTTGGTGCACCAAGCAGTTTCTAGGAGATCACAGAACGTAAGAGCAGCCAAAGGCGGCCTTGGGGATCATTTGGTCCAGTCCTCTCGTTTTGCAGAAAAAGCATCTGAGGCTTAGAGAGGTTAAATAATTTGACCAAGGGCACACATTTAGTTAGTTTCTGAGCAAGGACCAGAGCCCAATTCTTCCGATTCACAATCTAATGTTCTTTCAACCCCACACTGCTGCCAGACATCAGATTGAATCCTCACAGCAGAGAGCCAGCTCCACAAACACACAGCCTCTGGTATGGCAAGCTATGAAAAGTACAAAGCTTGGCTGCTGGGGGGAGAAGGGAGGGCTTTGGACAGACTCCTTCCATTACACTAAGCCAATCTCAGTGCATGATTAATGACAATAAACAGGATGTTCCTAATCAGGGGAAGTCTTTGACAACTAATTAATTGTAACCTAGCAAAGACAAAAACATAGCACAACTCCACCAGCAGATGCCAGAATGGCAGCTCCATTCATGAGACAGATCCCTATTCTTCAGTTCAAGTTTTAATTGTGGTTGGGGGTGAATTGTATGGTCTAGATTCAGCAACTGCCAGGTTTGGAGGGTGTGTGTGTGTGTGTGTGTGTGTGTGTGTGTGTGTGTATTTTACTCTACAGCCTCACTAACAGCAAGTACTCTGTTGGCTCAGATGGCCATTTAGATTTGACATTCCTTTCTAAATATTCATTTCTTCTGTTTCTAGTCTCTTGAATACAGAGCCCTTAGGTGGGCAAAGGATGAGAAAGTCACACAGGCAGCTCTCTGATTTTTTGAAGTGCCACGTGAAAATGAAACTTGCAAAAAGGTACTAATGTTAATAATGCCAATAACTCATTTTTATGGTGATTTTATAGTCCACAAGGCACTTTCCTGTTCTTTTTCACATTTAATATGCGTAACAATGCTGGGTGGGTATTGTTAACCTCTTTTTATAGATGAAGTTGAGGATAGGAGAGGTAAACTTTATTACTAATACTGATGATTATTTAACACTCTACCCTGCATTTCTCTAATGCGTTCTCATATGATATTGTGCATTATAATCATCTGCTTGTGTCTTATCCAAATATTAGACTGTGCATTCCATGAGGGCAAGGACACAATGCTAGTTAGCACTAACTAGTACTAGCAGAGTGGTCTGCATATAAGTGTTTAATAAATGGTTGTTGTTGAATGAATGAATGAATGAATGATTCAGGTTCCTATAGCATTTCACAGTTTACAAAATATTTTCTGCACAGCGACTCTGGGAGGCAAATAGTATATTAGCATCCCCATTTCACAGATGAGAAAACTAAGATAAAGAGTTCAACTAACTTACAAGGTCAGAGCTAGAAAGTAGTGGGTATGGAACACAGATTCAGTCCATACTTTTTCCTTTACAGCATAAATTCATCAGTAAGAGGCAAGGTGTCACAATAGTAAATGTGTAGGAATTGGAGTCACAAGATCTAGGTTTAAATCTTGGCTCTATCACTTTCTATCTGTGTGACTTTGGGCAAGTCAATTGCCTTCTGAGCAGCAAAGGACTGAATGCTAAGGTTCCTTCCAGCTCTAAATCAATGATCCTGTGCCTGTGAGCTGACCAGTTAGGTGCCACAGCAAATACATCTTCATGAATTCAAATCTAGCCTCAGACACTTACTACCTGTGTGACCCTGGGCAAGTCGCTTAACCCATTTTGCTTCAGTTTCCTCATCTATGAAATGAGCTGGAGAAGAAACTAGCAAACTACTCTAGTATCTTTGACAAGAAAACCTCAAGTGGGGTCACAAAGAGACAGTAATGACTAAACAACATCTGTGAATTAGGATGTACACATTGCATGCAGTGTCTTCTGGTAAGTCACACAATCAGCCCCAAACTCAGAAATCATACACAAACTCTACTACTGACTTCAGTTCTGGCTTAAGTTGGGGGTAGGCATGTTTGTTTTTCTGTTTTCCTAGTCTGGGAGTAACTCGATGGCTCTCTGGGGGAAGACAATTGCTTTGCAGTGTCTGGATCTTGGAAATATTGCAAATACAGACTCCAATCATCAAACAAACAAATCTGGAAACTTAGTTCCATGAATGTGAAGAATCCCCTTGCTTCCTCCCTGAAAACAGGGCTGGCAGGCAAAACATCAGCCCCTTAGTGGATAATACTGCCAAACTAAAAAGTAAATACTTTTCTCCATTGGAAGGAAAAGAAGATGGGGAATAATTATCCAAGAAACCTAATAGCATTTAAAAAAAATCCTCTAGAGTGAAAATTTATCAGAGAGTAGGAAGCTAGGTATGAAGGGATTTCATTAAAAGTCGGAACATGCTGGCTTTTTAATCCCAAGTACCTTAAACTGCTGGAAATATAAAATTGCTTTTCCATGTCTTTAGGAGGGCCACTGAACCCTCAACTTGTTACACCAATACATGCAGTGATTTGACTCTGGACCTGGCTAAGAATCCTTTGAGAACTTAGGAGGTACCATGGGCCTTGAACAGACTGCCTCTCCAACGTCCTGAAACTCAATAAAGGTTGAAGCTACTTAATTCAAAACTTCAACAGACTCATGATTTTATTGAAATAGGGACTCATTTTGATAATGCAGAACACAATCCTGTCAATGTTTTCTGATCCTGTGCAAAGATGTTAGTAATCAATCAATGAACATTTATTGAAGCCCTACTATGTATCAGGCACTGCGATAGATGTTAAGGATAAATGATACAAAAGTGAAGTAGCCCACATCCTCGGGAAGCTTTCATTCTATTGGGAGAGACAACATGTACATATATGTGAAATGTTTAGACACAAGGTATTTTAGTCAGGAGGGCACTAGCAGTTGGTGATATCAGGTAAGGCTTTATGTAAGCAGCTACATGGCAGAGCAGATAAAATATTGGACTAGCAGTCAAGAAGACTTGACTGAATCCTGCCTCAAATACTCACTGGGTAATTCACTTAATATTTCTCAGCCTCAGGTCTCTTATCCATAAAAAGGGAATTATAATGGCATCCATCTCATAGGGCTGCTCTGAGGATTAAATGAGAAGTTTTGCAAACCTTAATGTTCAATATAAATGCTAGCTATTATTTTTATTGGAAGGAGGTGCTTGAGTGTATCTTGAAAGAAAGCCAGGATTCTAAGAGGTGGGGATGAGGACAGTGTGGATTCTAGGCACGAAAGACAGCTAGTCCAAAAGCAAATGAAGATGGAGTATTATCTATGAGGAACAGCAAGAAATCCAGTTTAACTGGGCCATGGAGAGTGTGAAAAAGAGTAATGTGTAAAAAGGCTGAAAAGGTAGGATGAGACCAGGTGGCAAAGGGTTTTAAATACCAAACAGAAGAGTTTATATTTGCTCCTAAAAGTAATATGAAGTCACTGGAATTTACTGAGCAGTAAAGTGGGATGGATGGTCACACCTGTGTAGTAAGGGTTGAAGCAAAACAATGAAAGGTTTGCAAAATTAACACTCAGAAGAGCCAGTTAGAAAGCATATAAGCACAGCATTAGCAGACCTGCTTAAAGGTTACTGAATTTTGCCCTTTGGTTCCTAGTGGCAGGGTTTTGATTGAAGCCCCCTACATTGCCCTTCTTTTTCTGATGAGAAACTCAGAAGTGTTTTGATGGTTCCCAGTGACTCAAGCTTGTAATCTCCCCACCTCCCCGCACACACCCTTTAAACAAAAGACTTCTGACTGCATAGCCACTTTAACTACTATTCTCATTATTTTCTGAGGCCAAGTAGCTGACTACAGGGAGAAAGGATGAGCTATATCCTTATGCACCAAGCTAAACATGCTGTTCAGGTTGTAGGTTCACAACTTGTCATATTTTCAAGCCTCAATCTTCAACAATTTCACCCCCTTGCAGTGGAAACAGGGCTGTCATTTGCCAGTGGTTCTTGAATTGGACAAGAGTGTGGGAAGGTCCAGTACCTTTCTACACTGAACCAATGATTCGGGTTTACAAAAGGAGAGGCCTCACATGGATGACTTACCACCACCGACTCACTCCCATTAATAGACACAAATCTCTCACTGGTAAAGAAAAATTGAAAATTATCCATCAGAGAAGATCCTGACACATACTGGAGGGATCTTACATAATGGGTTGAGTAGGAGCCACAAGCCTGAGACATACAAAACACCTTCAGGACCTTGGAGAAAGGTTCCCATTCCAAGACAAGAAGACTGACTGAAGAGTGATGAATCGAGAAATAAACAAGAGACATTGTCATTGTATTTGACAATATCAACATTTCCTCTGCCCATAGTAAGCAGGGACTGTTGTGGGAGGAAGAGGGATGGAGAGGATACTGAAATGCAACTACTGAAAGTCCTATAAGAAGATTATCTAATTTTCAACTGGTTTAATGGACTGAGCAATGGATTTGGAGTCAGGACATGTGAGTTTGCATCCAGGCTCTACTGTTTGTTTTGTAAAGCTGTTTTATTTTTTTAGTATAAGTGTTCACATCTTTCTCCTTGGAGGATATAACATATCAAGAAGAAGGTTTCCCATTTGGCTTCTTTAAGCACCCCATCCTCCATAACTTTTAGCTTGTTGTTTTTATTTAGTCATTTTTCAGTCATGTCCAACTTGTCATGATCCCATTTAGAGTTTTCTTGGCAAAGATACTGGAGTGGTTGACCATTTCCTTCTCCAAGAGTTGTTGAGTTGTTTCATTCATGCCCAACTCTTTGTGACCCTAGTTAGTTTTCTTGGCAAGATACTACAGTAGCTTGTCATTTTCTTCTATAGCTCATTATACAGATGAGGAAATTGAGGCAAAGAGGATTAAGTGACTTGCCCAGGGTCACACAGCTAGTAAGTATCTGAGGCCAGATTTGAACTCAGGAGATGAGTCTTCCTGACTTCAGGCCTCCCACTCTTTCTATTGTGCCACCTAGCTGCCCCTAAACTTTTAGCTTGTATGCATCAAAAACAACTCTCTTGGTCATTAGATGTTGAGAAGCAAAACCTTGAAGAACAAGGCATGTCTAATCCCACAGGATGTGGACATACAACAGCAGGTAATTACTGAGGGACTCTGACAATCCAGTAGAACAAATTCCAATGAAAGAGCTATCATATAGGGAGTCTGACTTGATGTACTTGTTGCAACCCAGGAACCAGGGTCAGCCAATGCTGTTATTGTAATAAGTCAGCCCTTCCAAAACTCACAAAGAAATATCTCAACCCAATAATAACATTATTAATAGTAATAACTTACATATTCACTGTGATAAAAGGTTTGCAAAGCTCTTTAGAAGCTTGATCTCATTTTAATCCTCACAACAACCCTATAAGTTAGGTGCTATTATTATCTCCATTTTGCAGATGAGAAAATGGAATCAGAAAGGTTAAGTTGCCCAGGGCAACAGAGTTAGTTAGTGTTGGAGAAGAACTATGAATCTAGCTCTTTTTGACTTCAAGCCTGAGACACTGTCTATGAAGACATGCTGCTTCTCAAGGCAAGGCATACCTGTGTTTCTTTCTTAGGCTGTGAGTAGATGGAGCTTTTTGCACTTGGGGTTAGTGTCAGATTGGAAGCACACACACACAAAAAACAGAGCTGTAACTAGAAACATTTTCGCTTGAGGCAAAAATGATTGGGCAGAGGTAGGGAAGAGGGAGGAGAAGGTACAGAGGACAGTGTGACCTTGGGTATAGTTGCACCAGGACAGGAAGTGTTCTGACTCCTGTCTTCTATAGGGCTTAAGGTGAGGACAAGAACATCCACAATGAGACCATGGAGAAAAGACCTGGGGGGAGGGCAATTGGAGTACTTGGTAGATGAACAGAAAACCACAAGGTCAACTGTTAGGTATACAAAAGGAAAGTGCACAAAACCCCTGCCCAGGGAGGAGGTATGCTTCTCTATATCACCACTCTGAGGTAAAGCCCTATGGCCCTTAGCTGGCTATAGCTTTGTCAAAAAGCCATCTTTGGGGCAGCTAGGTGGTGCAGTGGATAGAGCACCGGCTCTGGAGTCAGGAGGACCTGAGTTCAAATCTGGCCTCAGACCAGACACTTGACACTTACTAGCTGTGTGACCTTGGGCAAGTCACTTAACTCCAATTGCAAAAAAAAAAAAAACGATCTTCAGCTTTCAGGAGAGGGAGAAGAGCAGGTTAATATTTCTTTCTGGCCAGAGACCATTTCCACAGTTTGTGTGAAGATGGGACACCAGTGCAGAGAAAAATGTACCAATAAAAAGGAAAAGGTTTGCCAAGTGAAAGAAGGAAAGCAGCATTTATTAAGCATCTAGTATGTACTAAGCTCATTACAAGTATTACCTCATTTGATCCTCACAACAATACTGGAAGATAAATGCTATTATTATCCTCATTTTATTATTCACTCTCAGGTAGGAGAGGTTAAGTGACTTGCCCAGAGTCTCATAGCTAGCAAGTGTCTAAGGCTGCATTTGAACTCAGGTCTTCCTGACTCCATGCCCAGCTCTCCAGCTGCCTCCCAGCTAGGTATGAAGGAAGCCTTCTTGCTCTGTTGCAAAGCTTCATGCCATCATGAAATGGAGGTGGCAAATCTCCCTGGAGATAGAAGTATCTTTTCACCTTTTCCCCAACATGGAAACCCAGTTCCAGTATTCCTGTTGGCTATCTTTTAGGGCATTCAGGTGGTGTGGAGCGGATAGAGTGCCAGGTCTTGAGTCAGAAAGACCTGAGTTCAAATCCAGCCTCAGACACTTTCTAACTATGTGACCCTGGGTGAGTCACTTAACCCTATTTACCCAGTTTCCTCATCTGTAAAATGATCTGGAGAAGGGAATGGCAAGCCACTCTAGTATCTTTGCCAAGAAAACCCCAAATAGAGTCACAAAGAGTTAGACGTGATGAACAACAATATCTTTCTCTTAAGTCATTCATCCTTTGGAGTCTTCATGGAGTTTGAACTAGATGATGTCTAAGGTTACTTCCAGCTCTAAATCTATGACCTAAGCTATGTTGTTACCTTATTATTTTTATAATATTATTATTGCTCTTGGGCCTTATTTTTCCCAACAAGGGAGTTCAACTAAATAAGCTCTTAGTTTTTTTTTTCCATGTCTTAATTCAATGGTGCTATGGACTTTAGGAATCTCACTGTGGATAATTCAAAAGAGATTGCAATTGTATAGGCCTGTGCTGCATGGCCAAAGGTGTATAAGAAGGAAACTTTTGCTGTCATATCGTCCCATGTTCCAAAGGTTCAATGTCTCAGTTCATGACTATGGGAACCCCTGACTTTCAACTTAGCTCAAATTTCTGTTTACTTACTTGGATCTGGTTTGGACCACTTCCTCCTCACCCTAAGTATGGCATCTCTTTCTAGGTTATTGGCTCTATGCCAATACAGGATGAGAAGTTGTTTTTTTTTTAAAAATATGTCCACTTCCAGATAAGTGGTTATGAGTGAAATAATTTTGTACATATCCCTCAAATGCTA